TTCAGCTCTTTCAGCTATTAAAATGTTGACCTCCTCAAGGATATTCATGCTTATATTCAGTACTTTTTAAAACTTCATACTTTTTGAAATATTTTGCTTTATTTTGAAAGTTTTCCTCCATTCATATGAATGGGAAAATTCTACTTCAGAATACTTTTAGCTATTTTAGGTATCAAAATGTTCAGCTTCTCAAGGACATTCATGCTTCTCTTCAGAGTTTTTCTAAACTTCATACTTTTGAAATATTCAGCTTTATTTTGAAAATCTTACCCCAGTCAAATGAATAGGAAAATTTTACTTCAGCATACTTTCAGCTAGCATAACCATTCATGTGTCAAAATATTCAGCATTTTCAGGGCAATCTTTCAGCACTCAGCATCCATACGCATTTTCTTCAGAAAATGCATTTCTCTAGGTTTTTTTAAGGTTTCATGCAGTTTCACATTCTACGGCTCAGTCTTTTACACAAGAGGTGGTACTCCTACCAGACCTTCTTGTTTTCTTCACGGGCTGTGACAGTATTCCTGAACTGGGCTTCTCTCCAAAGCCAAGCCTTGAGTTCGTTCACCACTCCAGATTTCCAGAGGCTAACACTTGTCAAAATGTTCTTTGCATTCCAATCCATGTGGCATATGCTACATTCAAGACATGAGTTTTGCTATATGCAACTCCCCTGGTTTTGGAAGGGCATAAGGGCAGTGTACACTCTTATATGTCATGGAGGGCTTGCAGTGTGATTTGTGGCTACTGAGTCAGTTTGAGGTTGTTTTTGACTGTTCAGCATTTATTGAGAGGCTGCAGTAAGTTTTAATTTTTTTAAGTAATCTGTAGAAAGTGCAGCAGCATTATATGTTCACAATCCAAAGCACCATTTGTGTATGGCTTTTAAACTACGGTTTAATGGTAATGGATTTCCTAACCTTTTTTTTTGTTATAAATCTCAGATATGAATTATGCAAATCTTGTTAAATTCTTTTACATTTGATAATTACAGAATATGCTGTATTGTATTTATAAATCTAGACTGTTGTGAAGGTATATAATACAGCCTTTAAAACTAACTGTTACATTAAAAATGTTATGCCATCTCAAGTCACACAGTATTAATTAGTTTAGTGAAAATTGACCTTTAAATGTAGCCAAGGTCTGGTTATCTGGCTGAAATTCATGTTGGCCTGTATTTGTATTTTGCACAAAGGTTCTATTTTAATAAACTGTTCTGACTTTGTATATGTTACCGTTCTTTTCGTTTCTCTTAGAATTGTATTGGAATAAGTGCACTGTAAATTTGGGCTTAAAATATAACACTGCCTGTTTAAAATTTGACTAGTAATCTGACAGTTCGAAACCAGATCAAGTCACAGAATGATCACAAGGTCCTGTAATTCACAAGATTTATTTTTGTTCTAAGACCTTGTTTGGAGTAGGCATTCTTAGGCATGATTACAGTGTAACTAGGGTCACAATTTTACAAATAAATGACATTTAATTGCACTAAACATCAACTGCTGTCAGACTTTCATTCTCAAGGAGAAAAACTCCTAATTACAATTGGAGTATAAACATGTAATGCAGAAGTACATGGATTATGGATTTATTTGAAGTAAATGACATGCTGCAATAAAAAGTTCTATCCCATGATTTCTATCATCAATCAAGGGATTAATTCGCCTTAGCACAGTGTCTTGATGCTGGAGAGCATGAGGGTGTTGCATTTGCACAACATGTGGTTGTCTTTGATGTTGAGGAAGCTGCAACATTCCAACTGTCCACAGTTGTAGTGGCGACCTGTTTTCCATTGTTCTCAAGCTGTGGTGGTTCCACTGGTTTTTAAACTCATCCACAGATCTGTTTATTCGTGGAAGATAAATATGGTGTAGAGCCCTAATGTGAAGTGGGTCTGTGCTATCTAGAAGTCCAACATTTTCCATGAAGAGGAAAAGGCCTTTAAAGTATGCTGACACTACCCTGTTCACTTCTCTCCACAGTCTTTCTATTCTCTGGTTATGTACACTCCGCCCAACCATGAAACTACCTCTGTTTCCACCACGATTCTCAATCATAAATCGTGCAATGTGCATGTTCTCACTACCAGCGTCACCCCTGACATGATGGGGGAGTCCATATTGACTGACAGCATCCAGAAAAAGTTGCAAAGCAGTTGCTGCTGTGTTGTCTGTGACACATCTGAGGTGGGTAATGCAGCGACTGTATCCATCCACTCCTCCATGCAAAACAAATCCCCATGGATTTAACTTGTGGTTTGTATCAACATGCCTAGAAAAAGAAAATACATTTTACTTTGGGTCAACTTATAAACCAGCATAGATGTAAGGTCTTAACCTTACTGCATAGGCTACTCAAAATGTTCAACTGTTTACTGTAGATTAACCAACTAGTGGATCAATGTATCTTTTTAATAAATGCAGATTTATACCAGACAACCTACCAGAGTTGGTTAGGGACACAGACATCATAGATCCTCCGCTGAATCGCCCTTCTATGTCTTAATGCTCTTCCCACTGGATCTATTATTCGTAGCCGCTCTCGAATCCGCCACCTCTGAACTCTGATTGCTCTCCCTCTCAGGCTACCAGTGATGTAGGTCTCTCCTGACCCAGGGGTTTGTCTTAGAACCTCTGTTATAAGATGATCAAGAGCAGCATTGGAAATGTTGCTGAAACTCCCATAGTCCAAAAGTCCCAGCTGTATCCTGTGGTTGTACAGTGTTCGAATATTCACAGATAGCACTCGAGATATGGCCATCCAGCTAAATCCTAATTCACGCATGTGAGTCAGCTGAGACGCTGATATGTTGTACCTTAAATGAAAAAATAAAAACAGCAACAAAATATACATTTAATTTAAACATTTTCATTCAACTTTTGTAATGAAATTATCTTATTGCCATATCCCTATACCCTGACTACTTATTAACTACTGACTGAGGAAATTGCTTCCGCAGCCATCATTTACCTTGGCCTTCCTCGGCGAGATGCTGCCTGTGCGATGATGCCATCTACTTGTCTGATGGCACCAAGAGTTATGTCATCCAACATTTCATTCATAGAGTCATGGATTCCTTCAAGAATAATGCATAATGTTCTTTCGGCATTGTTTTGTTGAACACGATTACTCATAGCCAGTAAGAATGCTCCAATAATGGAAATATGATCCTCAAGGTGACGGGATATGTACTCCAGACGGTTTGTGTCCCTTGGAGTATGATCAACAGTTGCAAAAAAATCTTCCAACCCAAGAAAGTACTGAAGTATTTCAGCTGCTGCCATAGCCACTGTAAAAACGTTGTACTGTCACAGGTGTCTGCAAACTGCCTTAAAGCATATTCGCAATATCCACTTTAGACTTTCATTCAATATTCTCAAGTTTCATTCAATATATTCAGCTATTCATTATATATATTCTCAAGTTTCATTCAATATATTCATCTTTTCATTATATATATATATTCTCAAGTTTCATTCAATACAGTGCCTTGCGAAAGTATTCGGCCCCCTTGAACTTTGCGACCTTTTGCCACATTTCAGGCTTCAAACATAAAGATATAAAACTGTAATTTTTTGTGAAGAATCAACAA